GAAAGTTGATCGGACTTTTAAATCACATATTTTGAGGAATGCCTTACTTCGTGTTTGGAAGAAGTATTATTATAGATTAAATTATAAAATACCTATCTGGGGGATTCCCAGACATGCAATTGAGGGAACCTCTAAGGGGACAAATTTTGATAAAATTTCATATAAAGAATTGTTAATTTGTTCTGGTTCGAATTGGCATTTGAAATCCCTAGATGTATTAAGGCAGCAAAATATTCTACAGTCATGGTTTCAATATTTACAAATAATGGATAGATGGACTGTAGACAAGAAAGAGGGAATAACACTAGAAGATAGACAATTGGTTATTCAGATTAAAAACCAAGGTCCGGCTCATATAAAAAGAATATATAATGTTTTATTAGAGTTAGATTCGGAAACAGAATTGGTTAAAGATTGTATGATTAAATGGGCTCAGAATATACAGGAGCCGATCTCATTGGATTTATGGGAGATAATTTGGATAAGAAATGTTAAATTTACACAAGCTCAAAATTTGAGAGAAAATTTTTATAAAATGTTTTATAGATGGCATTTAGATCCTAAAAAATTATCTTGTATGTATTCCAACATACAGCCCAAATGTTGGAGATGTGGCAATAATGATGCGACATACTTTCATATTTGGTGGAATTGTAAAAAAGTAAAGGCTTTTTGGATTATGATTTGGTGGAACATTCAAAAGATTTTTAGAAAGAAGATAAAGTTTACTCCTCAACTATTTTTACTTGGTATTTTTGTTGACTTAAATGAAAAAGAAACTACTTTGATGTTGAATTTATTAACTGCAGCAAGGTTACTAGTAGGTCTATATTGGAAGAAAGATTCTTTGCCTACTTTAGAAGAATGGATATTTAAAGTATCTAGTTTTGCAGAAATGGCAAAAATTTCTGCTTATTTAAAGGATCATACACAAGAAAGATATATTACTGTATGGGGAAGGTGGATAGATTATATTCAGAAAAAATATGGAATTAAAAAGTTTTATTTATTTTATGAATGAATATCAAATATTATAGAGAATTGTTTTATAAGTTATGGAGTTAAAGGTTAATTATGATATTTTTTTTCTTTCTCTTTTTTTTTCTTTTTTTTTAATTATTATAATTTTCTTTTTCTTTTTTTTTCTTAACCCTGTATTCTGCTCTGGGAAGTGAAGGGAGGGGGGGTGGGGGTGGGAGGGAGGGTAAGGGGGGGGTTCTCTATTTTAAAATTTTATTGTATTTTTATAAATGATTGTATGTTTTTAAAAAAATAAAAATTTTCAAGATAAAAAAAGAATTCTGGGAGTTGAAGTCCACGAATCATAAAAGAGCCAAGGTTGCCTGCCCCTGGGCTAGGCCTAGACCTCTTTATGACTCGTGGACTTCAACTCCCAGAATTCCTGAGCCAGCATGGCTCAACATGGAAACCTCTCCCTTTCTCCTCAGCATGGCTGGCTCAGGAATTCTGGGAGTTGAAGTCCACGAGTCATAAAAGGGCCAAGGTTGCCTACCCCTGGGCTAGGCATTTAGAAGTGGTATCCGTAATTTAAATAAAAACAAACATCTCTGTAAGGAAGGGAGTAAATGTTTTTCCATTTAAATTAGTTTGACCTTGTTGTGAGAGAAGAAGGTCTGGGCATCACTTTTGCAAATATTGCTGTCCTTATTTTGAGTACCCACTATTTTCCAGCCTGTAGATCCTGATTGAAATGAATATTAGGACCGGCTTTCTGAACCAAATTTAACCTGGGGATTCTGGGAGTTGAAGTCTACCCATCTTCATGTGGCTGAGCTGGAGAAACACAATCTGAAAACACACACACCCCCGGTTGAATTTGGTTTGGAAAGCTGGTCCTACTCATTTCAATCGGGATTTACATCTTTCCGGGAAAGAGTAGCTTCAGGGACAAGGACTGTAATTTGAACCCAGAACTCTCTTGGCACCACTTGAAAACAAGGGGCCTCTCTCTTACTTTCTCTGCTGAAGCCTGTTAGAAGCAGTCAGGTAGGAGGGCAGGAATATGGGTGCTTTGGGGGGGGAGCCAGTGAGTTCAGGCCCGTGGCTAGGAACCTTCCGTGAATCCCATCGTCCCCAGCTGAGCTTTCGTGAGACAGTCTGATAAAGTTAACCAGAGCCGAAGGTAGGTAAACCAGACTACTGAACGTGGACTCTAGAAGGCTTTGCTTGATAAATAATTTGAGGATTATTATTATTATTATGGTTATTTCCCTTATTTTATTTTATTTTATTTTGAACCCGACAATTTGTTTTTTATTGCTTGATTTCTTTGCTTTCCAAACTTCTCTTGTTGCTTTCAATTGTCTGTCGCTGGTTCTTTTGGAAGGCTAGCTAAGAAATGGAGATATGTGAATTCTGGAACAGTTTGCGAATTATTTTCACCCTTCTTCCCCTGAATACCAATCTCTAAACCAGAAATCTCCAAATTGGGCAACTGGACTTCAGTTCCCAGAATTCCTCAGCCAGCCGAGACTGGGAGGATTCTGGGAATTGAAGTCCACAAGTCTTAAAGTTGCCACATTTGGAGATCCTTGCCCTAAAGCAGTGGTTCTCAACCTGGGGTCGGGACCCCATTTGGGGTCGAATGACCATTTCACGGGGGTCGCCAAACAATGCAGTCCGCCATATTTTTTTCCCCTTTTCCTTAGCTGTGCTACTCCCTTTTATTCTATTGGCTTTCAAAAGCTAATAGGAATTGTCCAGGCTGTCTCTGCCCTGCTGAGCCCGCCAAAAGTCCCATTCTGCAAACGGTGCTACATTAGTTGAGTAGTCCTCGACTTACGACTGGTTGGGGGTTGCGGCATTAAAAAGGTTGAGAATCACTGCACTAAAGAAACCAGGAAGCTCAACGGAGAATTTATTTGAACCTCTGGAAATTAAAAAAAAAAAAAAAGGCAAAAGAGAAATTGTTGCTTATACCTTGTTAACTAGATTTTATCAAGATGTATCAGCTCTAAACTACAGATAGTTCTCCACTTACAACCATTCCTTTAGCAACCAGTCAAAATTAAAACGCCACTGAAAAGAAAGTGACAAGATCGGTCCTCGCTATTACGACGGTTGTAGCATTCTCACGCTTATGTGATCCAAATTAGGTCGCTTGGCAACCAACATGCATTTACAACGGCTACAGCATCTCAGGCTCACATGAAAGCCATTGGCGGCTTCCGACCAGCCGGCTTTGGACCCGAATGGGGGAAGCTGGATTCACTTAACCACCGTGTGATTCACTTAACAACTGCAAGCCTTTCTGTCAGAGCATGCACAATCTTATTGCACTGAGATAATCCAGGAGTGAACACAGTAAACAGTGGTCTATATTAAATGGTGATTTATCTTACACTGTCTACAATGTCATACACCAGGAACAATATACATACACGTGTTAATACAGCAGGCTCCAACAAACCATAGTTACAGCAGGAAACGGAAGAGAGAGAACACCTCTGCGCAGCCTTCCCTTTTACACAAAAGCTCTTAAAGAGACACAGACCTAGCTGGCTCTTAAAATGGACATAGACCCTGCTGAGTCATTCCTTTCCCTTTTATACAAAAGCTCTTAAAGAGACACAGACCCAGCTGGCTCTTAAAGGGACACAGACCCTGCTGAGTCATTCCCAACATTACATCATACATCTTACATTATACAAGCTGTTTAGCTGTTAAATTATTACCGTAACACTTTCACTTAACCCTGGAGAGAAAAGGTTGCAAAATCAGGCACAGCCGCCTTAATAGTGGAAAATCTGGTTCCGATTGTGGTCGTAAGTCGAGGACTACCTGTATAACTCCCAACTAAGCTTCTTTCAAGGGGTATCGTGCTGAAGCCGAGAAGGTGAATTTGAACTGGGCACTTTTTTAAGCAGAAAAGAGGGGCAAAGCTTCCCCATAAAGATTTTCTTTCTCTATCAACTTAACGTTGGTTACCAGTGGCCAGCCTGGCATCTGGAGGGCAATCTAGTTGTTGGCAATAACTGGAAAAACCTTATTTCTACTCTGGACACTAAAAGTCTTTGTAATGGTTATAAATTGCTGTTTGGAAAATGGAGATTAGCGAATGGAGACGATTCCGGCCATTTTCCTTTGATTGCAGAGAGGGGATTCAGAAAAGCAACGGATCCCTCCTGGCTTTGAGGCCAGGTTGGGAAGGAAACAGATTCGGGGAGGAGATTTTGATTGCTTGTCGTTGGAATTGCAGAGGGAGTAGATCCCAGCGGTCCCGTGTTTTCCCCAATGATGGGAATAGGATGGGTGTCAGGAAGGATTTATCTTTTATAGGAGTGGAAGAAGCACAATGTTCTATGCCAGTGATTCTCAACTGTGGGGACTTTAAGATGGGTGGACTTCAACTCCCAGAATTCGCCAGCCATGCTGGCTGGCGAATTCTGGGAGTTGAAGGCCACCCCTCTTAAAATCCCCACAGTTGAGGTACACTGATCTATGCGCTCTTTTTATGTTCCACTTTGTCCCTTGCAGGCTAAAATATTTGATGGAAAAATTTATTCCACAAACCAGCCCCCAGGCCCTATCTCGCCCCCAACCAGAGAGGCAGAAACTCAAGATGGCCGCCACAGTCATGCCCTGCTGAGCGCCATCTTGACTTTTTTGACCCCCCCTAAGTGCTAGCTAGCCCAACCAAACCCCATGTCTCACGAGTTGCTTGCTTTACGTTGCCACCTCCGCTTGCCTTCCCCCCCCCAGTTAATCCTTTGTTTATTTCAGTTATTGCGGAAAAGAAGCCCTTTTTTTATTTAAAAAACAAAAAAAAGTTTCGTTTTGTTTTTCAAGTTTTTTTGTGCTCCCCGGAACCAAGTTTATTTTGGTGCGTTTCGTTTCGGGTTTTTTTGTTATCATTTTGTTTTCTTTCTTTTTTTTTGTTTCCTTTTATCTTTCCTATATTTTGTTTTCTGCCCGCCCCCCCCCTCTTCCCCTCTTCCCTCGATTCCCGCCACCCCAAACTACCCCTCCCGCTACCGTAGAACCGTCCGCCCCCCCTCAAGACGTAAAATGTGTCAGCACCAGGTCCACGGCCATTCTGGTAAGTTGGCAACCACCGCCGGTTGAGAGCCAAAACGGTGACTTGGAAGGCTATAGCGTCCGTTATCGAGCCCTGGATCCCGAGGTCAGCGAATTGAAAGAGGTGAAGGATATCCCCGCCGCAACCACCCAGATCACCCTCGAAGCCCTGGAGAAATGGACGGAGTACCGCATCACCGTGGTGGCGCATACGATTATGGGGCCCGGCCCGGAAAGCTCGCCCGTCATTGTCCGTACCGACGAAGATGGTAAGTGGGACTTTTCCCTAAATTTATTTGTGTAAGTATTTGTATCCCGCCTGTATTACTTTGACCAATAACGCAAGGTGGGGAACGTAGCCAACACACCTTTCTCCTCCTGTTTTCCCCACAACGACAACCCTGTGAGGTGCGTTGGGCTGAGAGAGAGGGACTGGAGCTAAATCACCCAGCTGGTTCTCATGCCTAAGGCAGGACTAGGACTCACCGTCTTCTGACGATTGGCCCAAAGTCACCCAGCTGGCTTTTGTGCCTAAGGCGGGACTAGAACTCACCGTCTCCTGGTGATTGGCCCAAAGTCACCCAGCTGGCTTTTGTGCCTAAGGCGGGACTAGAACTCACCGTCTCCTGGTGATCGGCCCAAAGTCTCCCAACTGGCTTTCGTGCTTAACATGGGACTAGAATTCATAGTCTGCTGATGATTGCCTGAAAGTCACCCAGCCAGTTTTTATGCCTAAAGCGGGACTAGAACTCACCGTTTCCTGGTGATCGGCTCAAAGCCTCCAGGCCAAATTTCATATCGAAGGCAGGACTAGAACTCACCGTCACCTGATGATTGACCCAAAGCCACCTAGCTGGCTTGTGTGACTAAAAATGAACTACAACTCACTATCTCCTGGTGATTGGCCCAAAGTCTCCCGGCCAACTTTCATACTTAAGGCAGGACTAGAACTCACCGTCTCCTGGTGATTGGCCCAAAGTCACCCAGCTGGCTTTCATGCCTAAAGCGGGACTAGAACTCACCGTCTCCTAGTGATTGGCCCAAACTAACCCAGCTGGCTTTCATGCCTAAGGCAGGACTAGAACTCACCGTTTCCTGGTGATCGGCTCAAAGCTTCCCGGCCAAATTTCATATCGAAGGCAGGACTAGAACTCACCGTCTCCCGCTTTTTAGCCTGGTGCTTTCGCCACTAGGCGAAACTGACTGGTTCCAGGATGAAATAGATTGGTGAAAAAAACACAATGGGGAAAAAGCTTTAAGATCCTGGCTTGCTTAGCCATAATTCCTGTCTGCTCCCATCAAAAAAATGGTAAGGCCCACCTGTCTGGAAATCACACCTCCCTTTCCAGTGTGGGGAAACTGGGTTTCTTGCTGCCAAAAACTCCGGAGACGTTTTCTCTGGAATAGTTTGGACCCATAAATCCTTGGAAAACTCCTTGGAGCCGAGGCAGTGAGTGTGATAGGGCCAGTAACTCTCTCGTGGAAAGGTGTTGCGAACAGCCATTAATGAATTTCTAGTGGCGCTTTATTTATTTTCGAGCGCCTCATTTATCACACTCTCTGGAAAGGACGTGGTAGGAGGCCCAAAAGTCAGCTGTATAATGGAGAAAATGTAAAAAGAATTGTCATGCCAATTTCCCTGGGACAATTAAACTAACTGAGAATTTAGAGCTGTGTTTCTCCAACCTGGCTACTTTAAAATGTATGAACTTCAATTCCCAGAATTCCCCAGCCAGCATCGCTGGCTGGGGAATTCTGGGAGTTGAAGTCCATGCATTTTAAAGTAGCCAGGTTGGAGAAACCCTGATTTAGAGGCTCTCTTATGGCTGCGTTACACTGCAGGTATTCCTTGACTTATGACCACAACTGGGCTCAAAATTTCTGTGGTTAAGTGAGTTTTGCCTCATTTTACGACTTTTCTTGGGACCGTTCTTAAGAGAATCACTGGGTTGTTAAACTAGTCACCTGGTTGTTAAGTGAAACTGGGTTTCCCATGGACTGCGATCACTTGACCCGGGGACACTGCAGCGGTCATAAATGTGAGTCAGTTGCTAAGTGTCTGAATTTTGATCACATGACAACGGTTGTAAGTGCGAAAAACAGTCATAGGTCCCTTTTTGCAGTGCCGTTGTAAACTTCCAATGGTCACTAAATGAGTTGTTGTAAGTTAAGGACTACCTGTATAGCGGGTAATTTGCTTTTCTTAACAAAAAATGTCACCCTGTTCTCCTTTTCTAAGCCCATCCATTTTTATTTACACCAATAAAACCTTCCCCAGTTGAAGTGTATCCTTGTAACAAGTTATGATGACTAACCGAGAAAAGGCTGGACAATCAGTTGTCTGAAATGGTATACGGCAGTGGTGGTGAACCTATGGCATGCCTCACATGCTCTCCTTTTCCTGGGCATGACCCACTGCATCGCCTCCTCAACTGTTGGCTGGCCGTCCAGCTCAGAGGCGGCTTCTCTGGTGGCGGGGTGTGGAGCCCCAGAGTGTGCCGGTTGAGGGGCCGGCAGGCTGTGGATGCTGACAGACACTCTTGGCCCCTATGAGCTCGCTGGCTTCTGTGTGCAGGGTCCGATGGTGTAAGGCAGCAGCCGCCCCGGCCACTGCCTTGCCTTGCCCTGCGACAATGGCACCCCAGCCCTGCCTCACCTTGCTTCACTTCACTCCGCAGGACGAGCCTCCTGCCCACCGCCCCACCTGCCAGAGACCCCCTGGACCTCCCTGAACCCTGCCCGGCCCCCACAGGCATCCCTTCCCATGAGCAACATCGAGGTGACCACGTCCACCTTGGCCACACCCACTCAGTCTGCCCATGACCACCACAGCCACGCCCACCCAGTAGGCCATGCCCACCTGGCACCCAGTGATAAATAAGTGGGTTTTGGGTTGCAGTTTGGGCACTCGGTCTCTAAAAGGTTCGCCATCACTGAGATAGGGCAGTGGTGGTGAACCTATGGCACACGTGCCAGAGGGGGCACTCAGAGCCCTCTCTGTGAGCACATGCGCCTCACTCTTTGGCTAGGTTTTTGCAGGAAAAAGCCATTTCTCAAGCCCCTTCCTAGCCAAAACAAGCCTCCGGAGCGAGCGCGCTGTTTTAAGCTTTGAATTATATCAAATCTGACACCAGAAACAGACTAACAGGTGACTTGAGTGCTGCATGTGTTGCTTTCAAACTTACAAAGTATAAGCCAAGGTTAGACAAATTGTCAGCATGCATACAACAGCAAAAATCACATTAATTGTTCAAAAGCATGCCAAATGCAAACCTTTACCTTTCCTTAAAAAGTTGTTTTTATCATGGAAAATTTTGCTATTGTGTTTTTCTTTTAAGACAAAAGATAACAACAACAACAACAACAACAACAACAACAACAACAACAATAATAATAATAATAATAATAATAATAATACCTTGGATATCATCTAGTCCAACCCCCTGCTCAGGCAGGAAACACTATACCATTTTGGACAAATGGCTGTCCAGTCTCTTCTTAAAAACTTCCAGTGTTGGAGCATTCACCGCTTCTGGAGGCAGGTTGTTCCACTGATTAATTGTTCTCACTGTCGGGAAGTTTCTCCTTAGTTCTAGGTTGCTTCTCTCCTTGATTTAGTTTCCATCCATTGCTTCTTGTCCTACCTTCAGGCGCTTTGGAGAATAGCTTGACTCCCTCTTCTTTGGGGCAGCCCCTGAGATACTGGAAGACGGTTATCATGTCCCCTCTCGTCCTTCTCTTCATTAAACTAGACATACCCAATTCCAGCAGCAGTTCCTTATATGTTTTAGCCTCCAGTCCCCTAATCATTTTTGTTGCTCTTCTCTGTACTCTTTCTAGAGTCTCAACATCCTTCTGACTTTAATCCTGCCCAACCTTGAGGGTAACAGGCATTTTATTCCCTTTCTTCCTGAGAATTAAACAAGTCCCCAAATCATCCAAATTTAAGAGGAAAATTTTTTGTTAACCTGCATAAAGAAATTGAAATCCAAGATAGTGGATGGCTGTTTTTTCATCAGCTAATCTTTACTGTTGCCATAGGCAAGAGACTTAATTAAAGCTTTTTTTTTTCTTCTCTGGGAACAATCAGAGTTCAAAGGCTGAATACGTGGGGGAAACGCCAGCTAGAAATCTTCACATCTGCAAAGAAAGCTGGGAAGAGCCTCTCTGAATTTAATGTTATATACCCTGTGTCATGGTTCTGACATCGAGGCATTGTTTACCTTAAAGAATCTTTATTAGAGAAGCATAGCATAACACAGTTGGAGCCAAAATCTGAATTCCCTTCCCCTTCCCCACATAGTATCAAAGCACAATTCCCTCCACCAATTAACAGTCATAAATCACATTCTCCAATTAGTTTGAAATGTAGACTTTCCCTCCAGTTCTCTAGCCTGCCAATTCTTATCATCTCTATTTTAATAACCTTGATTCTCAGGCTAAGTTTAGTGTTGTTATGTCTAGCTAAACTCTCATGTACATTCCTCCCCTCAGCATCATCTAACTCTAACTCTAACAGTAAAACATAAGAAGAAAAAGGTTGCATCTCCAACTGTTGTCAAAGCAAAAACATCCAATGTTAGTAGCGTTGACACCCAGTTCCTTTCATTAGTTTCCCGGTGGCTTACAACCATTAAAACAGGGGTCTTCAAACTTGGCCCTTTTATGACTTGTGGACTTCAACTCCCAGAATTCCTCAGCCAGGCACATTTGAAGACCCCTGCATTAAAACATCGAAGCGCAAAATGCACCCACAAATATATCAACAAAAAATGGGAGCCAATCTTCACTAGCTAATACAGGTAGTCCTTGACTTATCGCCACAATGGGAGCCAGAATTCTGTTGCTAAGCGAGGCGGTTTAGAGAATTTAGAGAAACGCGCACTGGAGGTGCACACCTGTCACTGCATCCCACAGTTGTGTATTGCGGTTCTTGGTAGGAAACCTGGATGCACAAAATTGAAGTTCCAGCAGCGTCTTCGGCTGCGCACGAAAACCAGAGACCCGCTTGTCGCTTGAAATGATTGATTCTTCCTATTAAAGCGGAACCGTTTCTTTCTCTCTCCACTTTCCCTCCCCCTCTCTGCTCCTCCTCCATTCTGCCTCCAGTGCCCAGTGCCCCACCTCGCAAGGTGGAAGTTGAAGTCCTCAATTCAACGGCCATCCAAGTTTTCTGGCGCTCCCCAGTCCAAAACCGCCAGCATGGACAGATACGTGGCTACCAGGTGCATTACGTCCGCATGGAGAACGGAGAAGCCAGTGGCTTGCCCCAGATCAAGGATGTCATGTTGGCTGACGCTCAGGTGAGGGGTGTGTCTGCGTGCGTGCGTGTGTGTGTCTCCTTTTGGGTGGCAGGCAGCTTCTCACGGCTGGATTCGAACTCCAGGCTTATTAACTTAATAGCTCATTAACAACGGACGCTTCCCTTTTCTCCTCCTCCTCCTCCTTCTCCTGCTCTTTTTGGTGCCCAAGTCAACACACAAATTTGTGGTCATGAAGTCAGGCATCACAGGACTGCTTCCCACCCCCTGATTTTATGAGCTTCTTTTTTCCGTAGTCATTAAGTGAATCCTCAATGGTTCTTAAGCGAGGCATCGCTTGAGTTCTTCAGTGCCAGTTTTCCCCATTGACTTTGCTTGGTTGAAAGCTGGCTGGCAAGGTTGCGAAGGTTGTGATCCCGTGGCTCAGCTCCCATTGGAAAGCCAGGCCGGTGGACAAGTGCCCGGATTTGTCTTATCAAAATAGATAGGAGCCTTTCCCAGTTCTACCTGGAGGTGCCAAGCCCCGATTGTTCACAGGCCAAGCGAGGCTTTAGTTGCATCTCTCCTGTAGGGAGAAAGATCCTAGTCCTCATGATTCAGATTTAAAAGCTTCGTTAACACGGCTGCCCTTTCTCCAGGTTTCAGAAAGCAGGCAGTCAAAGAAGGGATTGCAAGCAAGAATTGAATATGCTTACAGATAGACCGTTCAGAGTTACAATGGTGCTGGGGAAAAGGGGACTTAGGGTCACTTTTTGGCCTCCCTGTAGTCACCAAATCAAAATTTGCCCGCTTGCCAGCTGGCCGGTATTTACAAGAGTTGCGCTATCTGATTTAGTGCTGTTCTAATATCGGTCACTAAACGAATGGCTGTAAGCTGAGGACTACAGAACCTGTAATTACTCCCTCCCAGCCTGGTTCATCTCTCCCCACCTATAACTCCATTAACCAGAGTGATGCGTTTTACTAACCCCACGGATCTCCTTCCCCCCCGCCCCACTTTGCCCCAGCAGCTGCAGGGGGGGGGCTTCTGAGTGCCAGCCTGTCTCTCCCCAGGCAGCCCCTCCATGCTCCCCCCATCACCTCACTTTTCTTTCTCTTTCCCCTTTTCATCCTCACCTGCCTACCTTCTTTTGTTCAGTGGGAGACCGATAACACTGCAGAATACGTAAGTAAAACGCTTCCGTTGTGGTGGTCTCGTCTCGGCTCCCTTCCCTGTTATTAGTGATGGCATGGCATTGGAGTATCTCCCTTTCTTCTCCCCCCCACCCACCCACCTGTGTTGAGTTTTGTGTGGCTTGGAGTGTTTCAGCCTCTCTCTGAATGTTGCCTTAGTTTCTTTGCATGGAGTATGGGGGAAGGAGGCGCAGTCGTTAACCCAGCTTTAGAAACGAGAGTTAAACCAACATGAGTGTGCAAGAGGTGCAGATCCTGTTAGCTTAAGAGGTGAGGGTAATAATAATAGTAATAATAGTAATAGTAATAATAGTAGTAGTAGTAGTAGTAGTAGTAGTAGTAATAATAATAAAGTTGGAAGGGACCTTGGAGGTCATCAAGTCCAACCCCCTGCTTAGGCAGGAAACCCTATACCATTTTGGACAAATGGCTGTCCAGTCTCTTCTTAAAAACTTCCACTGTAGGAGCATTCAGAGCTTCTGGAGGCAGGTTGTTCCACTGGTTAATTGTTCTCACTGTCAGGAAGTTTCTCCTTAGTTCCAGGTTGCTTCTTTCCTTGGTTAGTTTCCATCCGTTGCTTCTTGTCCTGCCTTCAGGCGCTTTGGAGAATAGCTTGACTCCTCTTCTTTGGGGCAGCCCCTGAGATATTGGAAGGCTGCTATCATGTCCCCCCTCGTCCTTCTCTTCATTAAACTAGACATCCCCAATTCCAGGACTCCGAGATCCCTCTCATAGTTACTACTATTGAGCAAGGTACCACCTATACTATATCTGTAAAGTAGCTTAAGAAATGAGAGTTAAACCAACGTAAGTTTGCAGAGTTGCAGAGCCTGTTAAACCAACTTTAGCAATGAGGGTTAGACCCATATAAATGTGCAGAGAGGCAGAGCCTGTTAAACCAGCTTAAGAGGTGAGGATAGACCAGCGTAAATGTGCAAAGATGCAGATCCTATAAACTAGCTTAAGAGGTGAAGGTTAAACCAACATAAGTGTGTCCTTACCTTGTTAAAAGAGTTTAAGCGGCGATGGATAAATCAACGTAACAGTGCAAAGAGGCAGATCATTTTAAACTAACTTAACAAGTGATGGTTAAACCAACCTAAGTGTGCCCTTGATAAAGTGTGCCCAGTTAAAGCAGCTTAATACACAAATTAATATACAAATTAATACACAAACTAATATAAATGTGCTGCTGTGGAAACCCAGATAAACCAGGTTAAGACACGAGGGTTAAACCAAGATAAGTGTGTCCTTTGTGCAAACCGAGCGGCTGAAAATGGCAGGATTTGTAAAATGCATCTTTTGGGCTTCTTATTCTCAAGCAGCTGATTTTTATGTTATAGAACAGGGGTCCCCAATCTGTGGGCCACGGCCCACTTCCAGGCTGCCTACATCTCGCAGATATAGACTGGTTGCTGGCATACTGCAGCCCAGTATTGGTCCACGGCCCGGGGATTGGGGACCCCTGGACAAGAAGACTTCCAAAGTCCCTTCCATCTCTCTTATTCTATAGCCAATTGGGTTGAGAACAGTCATTTTTTTCCTTTGGGGTTTGGTCCCTTTGTTAGAACCCACAGACGTCCTGTTGATAAGACCATTTTCTCTGATGACAAGACAGAATGGAGCCCTCCCTGTTTGCTCAAAGCTTTGGGCTGCAAATACGGGGTCTTCATTGCAAGTTGTGTGTTTGGTATGTGGAATGTCTGGTTTTCTCCCCACCTGTCCCTGTTTCCTTGTGATGTGATGTGTCAAGGATTGCTTTGTGCTGTGTCTTGCATGCTGGATCCTGGTTGTTTTCCGGAAGGGAGGGAGGGAGGAGGAAGGAAGGAAGGAAAGAAAAGAGAAAGGAAGGAAGGAAAGAAAGAAAACGGAGGGAAGGAGGGAGGAAGGAAGGAAGGAAGGAAGGAAAGAAAGAAAGAAAGAAAGAAAGAAAGAAGGGAGGAAGGAAGGAAGGAAGGAAGGAAGGAAGGAAGGAAGGAAAGAAAGAAAAGGGAGGGAAGGAGGAAGGAAGGAAAGAAAAGAGGAAAGAAGGAAAGAAAAGGAAGGAAAGAAAGAAAGAAAGAAAGAAAGAAAGAAAGAAAGAAAGAAAGAAAGAAAGAAAGAAAGAGAAAGAAAAGGGAGGGAGGAAGGAATGAAGGAAAGAAAGAAAAGGGAGGGAGGGAGGGAGGACGGAAGGAAAGAAGAGAAAGGAAGGAAGTCTTTTTGTGTTAATTCTTTGCTTTAATTCCTCAGGAAATGGTCATCTCTGGACTTCAGCCAGAGACCACTTACTCAGTCACAGTCGCTGCCTACACCATGAAAGGGGACGGGGCCCGGAGCAAGCCGAAGCCAGTTGTGACCAAGGGAGCAGGTGAGCATCCCAGAAGGGTGGACTTGTAAACCAACCCTACAGGACCCTCGGGTAAAGATTAATTCTTGACTTACGACAAGTCACTTAGCAGCCATTCAAAGTTACAACAAACCTACCTTCAAGCTACTTACGACCCATTTGCCGGGGGAGGGGTGGGGGCTCCACAGTCACATAACTGAACTTCCAGCTCTCAACAGCAGGACCCCCGTGATGGCCACTTGCAGGCCTCCCGCAGTCACACGACTGCATCTTACAACAGTTTGCCCAAACTTGTCACTTACGTCCATGGCATTGGCGCTTACGATTGTCTCATTCGCCTTCAAAAAATGTTGTAAACTCGGTGTCAACGCTGCTAACATTGGATGTCCTTGCTTTGACAATATATATCAGGCATGCATCTATTGAGCAGTACCCGATCGATTGCAAGAATGGTACCAGGTGACAGTTGGAGCTGTATTACTGCAAAAGAAAAAAGTGGGGTCCTGCAACCCTGCGCCTACACCTCCAAAAAATTCACTGAAAGCGAGAGGGGATGGGCAATCTGGGAAAAGGAGGCCTTCGTAATTAGGTGGGGCCTGTTAAACTGGCAACACTATCTAGAGCAGTGGTTCTCAACCTTTCTAATGCCGCGACCCCATGATATAGTTCCCCATGTTGTGGTGACCCCCAACCACTTATACATCACCGGGTGCCAGGGGCGTGGCCAAACAAAAGGGGAAAAAATGGCGGACAGCCTTGTTTGGCGACCCCCGTGAAATGGTCGTTCGACCCCAAATGGGGTCCCGACCCACAGGTTGAGAACCACTGATCTAGAGGGGAGCAAGGTGCCTTTTATATATTGTCAAAGCAAGAACATCCAATGTTAGCAGGGTTGACACTCAGGTTGGTTAACGTGACTAACTTGTATTACGATCATCATGACTTTAACGACCGTAATGGGTAGGCTCCATTATGGGTTGTATGTTGAGAACTACCTGTACTGTGAGGGTCTTTTGAAAAAACTTCAAAAATTAGAATTTGACAGTTGGTGAGAGAGACCAAACGCCGTCTTCAGATGTTTCACCCAGACTTCATGGATATCTCTGATACCCAAAAAAAATATTCTTTTTCTTCTCACTTCGTTCTTCTGTCATTTCCCTCTTTGCTTTTTTTTTTTTTTTTTGAGGAATGCACAACTGAGATAATTGAATAGTGAAGTATTTTGTGTGTGTACACTGATTTTGTGTGTGTGTGTGTGTGTGTGTGTGTGTGTGTTAGTCTCTTTAAATATATTATACAGGTCCTCCATTTAGGAGCACAGCTGAGCCCAAAATTTCTGTTACTAAGCGAGACAGGTTAAGTGAGTTTTGCCCCGCTTTACGACATTTCTTGCCACAGTCATTAAGGGAATCCGTTCAGTTGTTAAATTAGTAACCCGGTTGTTAAGTGAATCTGACTTCCCCCATTGATTTTGCAAAACGGAATTACGTGACCCAGGGACACTGCAACTGTCATAAATACGAGTCAGTTACCAAGCTTCTGAATTTTGATCACATGATCACGGGGATGCTATGACGGTCGTATGTGTGAAAAATGGTCTTTTTTCAGTGCCACTGTAACTTCAAACAGTCACTAAACAAGACTGTTTCCACATTAATAATCCTATATCAGGTATATTAAATTTTCTCTCCATTTTAACAGTCTACTAGTTTTTATTTGTCCTTTTATTTTTTTCCAGAAACCATCCTTTCACACACACACACACACACACACACACACACACACACACACAAGCTTTCACTATATCTAGGAATCCTATGAATAGGGAAATTGAATTATTTTCACAAAACTGTAATACATTTAATAACTATCTATCAAAGCTGGCCGTGTTATTGTGCTTGGCGTGCATCTGGATTGAGGCAGCGATCGCGTTTCACCTCTGATTAATTTAAGATGGTGAGCGAAGTAGTTTAGTATAGAATTTATAGTCTGCCTTAAGTAATGAAAGAGAAGCTTACCAGGATAGATTGATAACGTGAAGATTAAAATAGATTTCTGTAGAATTCTCCAGACAGCTGAGTCAAGGACTGGCTGTACCCACCCACAGAAGTTCATCTGCAGCGAGTGTCAGTGACAGAATCATAATGTCAGCTAGTTTGGGTCATGAAACATCGGCAAGAAAACAACCAAGCGCAGAGAGCACTGGGGACCCCACAGTTGTTCTCCTCCTCCTCTTTCTTCTTCTTCTTCTTCTTCTTCTTCTTCTTCTTCTTCTTCTTCTTCTTCTTCTTCTTCTTCTTCTTCTTCTTCTTCTTCTTCTTCTTCTTCATCTCCTCCTCCTCCTCCTTCTTTTTCTTTTTTCTCCTTCTCCTTCTTCCTCTTCCTCTTTCTCTGCTCCTCCTCCTCTCCCTTTTAGTATTGATGATGTTACCTAGTTGGGTAATGAAATGTCTGCAAAAAATCAACCAAGCTCAGAGAGTACCAAGGACCCCACAGTCGTCGTCGTCGTCCTCCTCCTCCTCCTCCTTCTTCTTCTTCTTCTTCTTCTTCTTCTTCTTCTTCTCTTCCCCCTCCTCCTTTTTCTTTTTTCTCCTTCTCCTTCCTCTTCTTCTTTCTGTCCTCCTCTCCCTTTTAGCATTGATGATGTTACCTAGTTGGGTCATGAAATGTCTGCAAGAAAACAAGCAAGCTCAGAGACCACCAAGGACCCCACAATCCTCCTTCTTTTTCTTTTTTCTCCTTCCTCTTCCTCTTTCTTTCCTCCTCCTCCTCCTCCTTTCCCTTTTAGCACTGATGATGTTACCTAGCTGGGTCATGAAATGTCTGCAAGGAAACAACCAAGCTCAGAGAGCACCAAGGACCCCACAGTCCTCCAACTCTTCCTCCTCCTTCTAGCATTGATGATGTTACCTAGTTGGGTCATGAAATGTCTGCAAGAAAACAAGCAAGCTCAGAGAGCACTAAGGACCCCTCATGTCAACTCTGAGCTACAAATATTCTCCTTCATTGGGTTGCATACTTCGCTTGGACATAAATGGGGTTGGCCGCTTTGATCATCTGCTTACCTTCTCTTTTTTTTTTGAGATCCCCTTATTTCCATCTTTACCCCTTCCAAAACAGAAGGAATATTCCAGCTGAAACATTCAACAAAAACCTTTGATGTGCCTAATATGGATGAACTTTAATTTTCATTGCATTAACTTTTTAAATATTAAGCCATTTGTGGAAGTAGGTTGTTTTTTAAATTTTCTTTCATGATGCCTCAACAGAAGCAACACCCCGTGACAATCTTTTCAGAAGATCAGCAATTAGCTAGGTGCTCAATGTCTTTCTGCTTCAAAATAATAATTTTTAATTATGTTTCCCAATGTTTCAGGTAACGTTTTTTTTTCCCCTGAAACCTTTCCAGTGGGTCACTGATCAGTGGATTTCTTTTCCACTGCTAAAACGTGTTTGAAGAAGATAATTAATTCATGTATTGGCTGTTTTCCTCGTCGGCACCCAGTATAATAATTTATTAGACAAAAGCAATACAGGCAGTCCTCATCTTAAAAGACTAAGCACAGTTGGAAGATGAAGTCTATTCTTCTGGACCATCCTCTTTTCACAGATCCTGAAGCTCTGGACTTTGCTCTCTCAAACTGGGGGTGGTTGCCACAGTAATTCTCAATCTTGACACCTTTAAAAGATGTGGACTTCAATTCCCAGAATTCCCCAGCTACCATGTCTGGCTGAGGAATTCTGGGAGTTGAAGTCCATGAATTCTAGTCCCACCTTAGGCATGGAAAGCAAACTGGGTGACTTTGAGCCAATCATCAGGAGATGATGAGTTCTCTGTCTCTGTCTCTCTCTGTGTCTATTTCTCTCTCTGTGTGTCTGTTTCTCTGTCTGTCTGTCTCTCTTTCTCTTTCTCTCTCTCTCTCTCTCTCTCTCATGTCCCCCCTCGTCTTTCTCCTCATTAAACGACATACCCAATTCCAGCAATCGTTCTTAGTATGTTTTAGCCTCCAGTCCCCTAATCATCTTTGTTGCTCTTCTCTCCACTCTTTCTAGAGTCTCAACATCTTTTGGGGGGGGGGGGCTATATTAACCAACACAACTCTCCTAAAATCTAATACTATATATCAGTGATGGCGAACCTTTTAGAAACCGAGTGCCCAAACTGCAACCCAAAACCCACTTATGCATCGTCGAGCGCCGGGTGGGTGTGGCCAATTGGGTGGGTGTGGCCCATTGGGTGGGCATGGCTACAGTGGTAATGGCAGAGTGAGTGGGACTAAAATGTTCAATCCATCAATTCCAACTTTGCAAGATCTTTTTTTTCCCGCGAGAAGTTGAAATTGACTGATTGAACCTTTTTTTTTTTTTTTTTGCACACGACGGCGGAGGCCTAAAGCGAAAAGGTTTTATAAAACCCAGCTGAAGGCCTAGGACTGGGGCCACGGCACGCGTGCCCACAGAGAGGGCTCTGAGTGCCGCCTCTGGCACCCGTGCCATAGGTTCGCCACCACTGCTATATATCCTCACAGCAGATAAAAAAAAGTAGTTTGTAATATATCGCAGCATAGCCGGTGAGAAAAAAGAACGTACAACCCTGGCAGGCTGCCTCCCGCCGCAAATCCGTTTTCTCTTTTCTTTCCCAGTCCCAGGAAAGCCGATCCTGTCCGTCTATCCCACCCAAGAAAACACTCTCCTGGTCAAATGGGAACCCCCTCTGGAAGCCGAAAGCCAAGTGCTGGGGTACCGCCTCCAGTTCGGCCGCAAGGACGTCGACCCGCTGGCCACCCTGGAATTCGCCGCCCAGGAGGACAAATACACAGCCACCCACGTCCACAAAGGTGCCACGTACGTCTTCAAGCTAGCCGTGAAGAGCCGAGCTGGCTTTGGGGAGGAAGCGCTGCAGGAAATAGCCATCCCAGAAGATGCGCCGAAGGGTTACCCCCAGATTCTCGAGGCGAGCAACATCACCTCCAGATCGGTCCAGGTGAAGTGGATGCCCCCCGTCTTAGCCGAGAGGACCGGGGTCATCGTCAAGTACACCGTGGCCTACCGGGAGACCACCTCTTCGGGAAACCCCCAGGAGAAAGAGCTGCCCCCCTCTCCAGAAAACTCGTACATCCTGAACGGTCTCAAGCCCAACACCGCTTACGATGTTAAAATCCGAGCCCATACCAGTAAAGGTCCCGGGCCGTACAGCCCGACTGTTCAATATCGGACGGTCCTTCTGGATCAAGGTAGGACTTGCCAGTTTCTGCCCCAAAGAGTCTCTCTCTCTCTCTATGAATCCTGGAAGGCAGAGAAGCCAAAAACCTAACCCAAAAAACTGCTGTAATCCTAAACTCCTCGCCAGCTTGAAGATACGGCGTGTGAGTACCACTTTAAAAAAAAAAGAAAAGAAAAAAGCAAGCAGGCTTTTAAAAACAAATCATAACAAGGCAGGTGGTTTCCCTTTTGCCTTTGGCAGGTAAGTCTTTTTTTTTTCCTTTTTTTCCCGCTAAAGTCCAGTCCAGGCAGCCTCTTGATTGACAGCTGGGCGGAGCAGTTGCCAACACAGGTGGGCGGAGTTTTTTCTTCAGCTTTTGCCCCCCCCTCCCTCTCTTCGATCTCTTTTGATCTCTTTTTTTTCTTTCTTTCCTTTCTTTCTTTCTTTCTTTTTTTTTTTTTGCAAGCCGATCAAGGAGAAAAATACACCTGTGCCAACCAGTTTTAAAATCAAACCCACATTATATTCCACGCAGAGTTTCCGTCCTCAGCAGCCAAACGGGAGAATTTGTAGTTGATTTTCGTTTGTACTGGGATGCTGTAAGGGCACTGGGATCACATGGTGGTGTTTTTTTAAAAAAAAAAAAAAATAGTGTAACAGGGTGTTGCAGGTTTGGATAAAAGTTTTTCGAGAGGCACAGATGGCCAAAGGTAATTTGGGGAGGGCTGAAGTAGGACGCAGTATGTAGAAAACACGTCACGGTTGATGATATCCAAACTCTGTCGTTTTCACTCCGAGTCGCTCGCTCTGCCCTTTGCTGACTGTTTTTCTTCCCCACAGTTTTTCCCAAAAACTTCAGAGTGAAAATGATCACCAAGACGTCGGTCCTCCTGGGCTGGGAGTTTCCTGAAAATTACAACTCTCCTATTTCATACAAGGTACATGTTTAATGTCTGCTAGAGACCCTTGTCAGATGCTATATTTTTTTCTATCCTCCTCTGGAGTAGAGCAGTGGTGGTGAACATATGGCATGCGTGCCAGAGGGGGGACTCGGAGCCCTCTCTGTGGGCACATGCACCTCGCTCTTTGGCTAGGTTTTTGCAGGAAAAAGCCATTTTTCAAGCCCCTTCCTAGCCAAAACAAGCCTCCAGAGCGAGTGCGCTGTTTTCAGCTTTGAATTATATCAAATCTGACACCAGAAACAGACTAACAGGTGACCTGAGTGCTACATGTGTTGCTTTCAAACTTACAAAGTATAAGCCAAGGTTAGACAAATTGTCAGCATGCGTACAACAGCAAAAATCACATTCATTGTTCAAAAGCATGCCAAATTTTTACTTTTCAATAAAAAGTTGTTTGTATCATTGAAAGCTTTGTTATTGTGTTTTTCTTTTAAGACAAAAGATGTTAATGTATGAGTTGTTTTTTCTAAACTAAAACCTCGGTATTCAGATTAAATTGCCGTGTTGGCACTTTGCGATAAATAAGTGAGTTTTGGGCACTCGGTCTCTAAAAGGTTCGCCATCAGAGGAGTAGAGAGTTGGTCTCTGACAGAAGGCCATCTGAAGAGACTCGAAGCATTTGAAATGTGTATTTACAGGCGGCTGTTACGTGTAAGCTGGGTTGACAAGATCAGAAATGAGGAGGTGATAAGCCGCCTGGGAAAGCCAAGGGAAATCATCAAAACAATTAAAAAACTAAAATTGGAATATTTCGGACATGGGATGCGGCACCCAGAAAAATACGGCATACTCCCGTTTAATCCTCCAGGGAAAGATCGAAGGCAAACGAGGTCCAGGCAGAAGAAGAACATCGTGGCTTCAAAATCTAAGGGACTCATTTGAACAAAACTCAGCAGCACTTTTTCACGTGGCTGCTGATAAAAACAGGATCGCCAACGTGATCGCCAACGTCCGATAATGGATATGGCACAACAAGAAGAAGAAATCCTTGAAAAAAGGGGATCCTGCATTCTTTGTGCAATAGAGGCAATTTGGTCCTTTGATCACCCACCAAATTGCCTCTGTTATACAAAGGATGCAGGATCCCCTTTTGTGCAATTTGTGCTGGGACGTCATGACACGCAGCCTACTTTTGTCATCGCCCTTGTTTCGAACAGTTATTCAGTTGAAACTATTTGGAATATGAGCTGAGGTGGCGCAGCAGTTATAGAGTGCAGTACTGCAGGCCACTTTAGCTGACTGTGTTCAGCAGGTCAGCGGTTCAAATCTCACCAGCTCAAGGTTGACTCAGCCTTCCATCCTTCCGGGGTAGGTAAAATGAGGACCCAGATTGTTGGGGGCAATGTAAATATATATATATACATTGCTTACTGGTGTACACCGCTTAGAGAGTGCTTGCACTTAAAGCGGTATATAAGTCTCATAAATAAATAAAATAAATAAATAAATAAACACCTTTATTATTCCGTCAAAATTATTCGATCAACGGTTTATTCGGTCCAAAAAAAGGCCTGGCCAAAAGGCGCTGCATTTTGCTCAAAAATCTGTCACGAGAGGGAAAAACTGCCCTCTTCCGAAGCAACCTAGATCATTTTCCAACAAATTATCCCTGCGGAAATTACTTCTTTCTTCCTGTTAATTGAAATCCATTTAGCTAAATTAGGGAATTTGCTGCCATGCAACATTGCAATGACAAAAGATTTGGACAGCTGGAAAAAAAAATCCACAGAGGCTGACGTTCTCAATGGCTACTAGGCGTAATAAGCATAAATGATTTCTAGGGTTTCCCCAAACACTGTCGGTGAAAACAGTGAAACACTGCTATGGAACATAAATAGAAAGAGGCAGTGTGTCCAGATCCTATTTGTACGGTTCCTACATGCATGCACCTGTTTGGTTACTGTGGGAAATGCAGGTAGTCCTCAACTTATGACTACAATGGAGCCCAACATTGGTGTTGCTAAGCAAGACAGTTGTTAAGTGAGTTTTGGCCCATTTTATGACTTTCTTCAGTGAATCACTGAAGCTGTTGACGATGTTGTAAAGTGAAACTGGCTTCACATGATCCTGGGACACACATGATCCCGGCAACCGTTATAAATACATAATCAAGGAGAGAAGCAACCTCGAACTAAGGAGAAACTTCCTGACAGTTGGAACAATTAACCAGTGGAACAACCTGCCTCCAGAAGCGGTGAATGCTCCAACACTGGAAGTTTTTAAGAAGAGACTGGACAGCCATTTGTCCGAAATGGTATAAGGTTTCCTGCCTGAGCAGGGGGTTGGACTAGATGTCCTCCAAAGTCCCTTCCAACTTTATTATTATTATCATCATCATTATTATTATTATTGATCATTGCACAGTCAGCCAGATGTTCAGACTGGATTTGGCATTTTGTCTACCTATCGAGTCCTTACCAAGGACCTGGGATAGGCAGATGTGGATGTTTGATGGTATTACAGATATCGTCCCAAATATCTGGAGCACCACCTGAACACCATTGGCATTGACAAATTTGCCTTTAGTCAATTGCAAAAGGCGGCCTTACTAGGAACTGCTTCCATCCTGCGACGATATCTGTAATACCATCAAACATCCACATCTGCCTATCCCAGGTCCTTGGTAAGGACTCAATAGGTAGACAAAATGCCAAATCCAGTCTGAACATCTGGCTGACTGTGCGATGATTAATAATAATAATAATAATAATATCCACATCTGCCTATCCCAGGTCCTTGGGAAGGATTCAATAGATAGACAAAAATGCCAAATCCAGTCTGAACATGTGGCTGTGTGCGATGATGATGATTAATAATAATAATAATAATAATAGTTAATAATAATTGATGGTATTACATATATCGTCCCAAATATCTGGAGCACCACTTGAACACCATTGGCATTGACAAATTGGCCATTAGTCAATTGCAAAAGGCAGCCTTACTAGGTACCGCCTCCATCCTGCGACGATTTTTTAATTATTATTATTATTACTATTATTATTATTACTATTATTATTATTATACATAGCAGTTGCCATGTGTCCAAATTTTGATCACGTGAGCGTGGGGAGGCTGCAACAGTCATGAGAAAAACAGTCATAAGCCACCTTTTTCAGTGACTGTAAGGGACCTTGGAGGTCTTCTAGTCCAACCCCCTACTCAGGCAGTAAACCCTATCCCATTTCAGACAAATGGCTGTCTAGTCTCTTCTTGAAAACTTCCACTGTTGGAGCACCCACAACTTCTGGAGGCAGGTTGTTCCACTGGTTAATTGTTCTCACTGTCAGGAAGTTTCTCCTTAGTTCTAGGTTGCTTCTCTCCTTGATGAGTTTCCATCCGTTGTGTCTTGTCCTGCCTACCAGGACTACGTGTAAGATGAAGGTTAATGTTGGTCTGTTATAGCAGGATTCTTCTGGGTTTCTTATATGGCCCCAACTATCTATCTTCTGTGCCCGCTTCCTTTGTTTCTCACAGATCCGGCATGAGAACACCGGTCAAGAGATTGAGGTGGGTGGAAGTGCCACCAAGAAGCTCATCACCAATCTGAAGCCAAAAACATCTTATCGGTTCTCCCTCGTGGGCCAGAGAAGCGAGAAAGGAGATCTTCAGCAGAAGGTGGAGGTGTCAACCGCAGCCAATATGCTGAGCAGAAAACCAGAGGTGTCTTATCGACATGAAATAGATGGCAACGTGATGGTGAATCTGCCAGATGTCAGGAGTTCAGACTCCCCAGTTCAGTATGTATACATTGGGCAACCCTATTGAATCTAGCTGCACGGTTTATATCTCTCCCTTTCAGCATTTGCATTTGGCCTTTGCATATGAAGCTGGTCAAGATTCGGAAGCCATCAAAGCATATGAAATACGAACCATTCAAATTATAGAACAGAAAGAATAGAGTAGAGTAGAATAGAATACAATAGAATACAATAGAATACAATAGAATATGGAATAAATGGAATGGAATAGAATAGAATAGAATAGAATAAGGAATAGAATAGAATAGAATAGAATAGAATAGAATAGAATAGAATCTTTATTGACAATAGAATGGAATAGAATAGAATAGAATTTTTATCGAGAATAGAATAGAATAGAATTTTTATTGAGAATAGAATAGAATAGAATAGAATCTTTATTGAGAATGGAATAGAATAGAATAGAATCTTTATTGAGAATAGAATAGAATAGAATAGAATAGAATAGAATAGAATAGAATAGAATAGAATAGAATAGAATTTTGTAAGCTAGATCCCACAGTCATTTTGCTTGGAGACAATTATTTTTCGCCATTGGTGAGACAGCCCAATAAATATTTGTTTCCTATTTTGACTTCTCACCCCAGTTAATCACATTGCCCATCTAGATGAGCTCTTCTCCTTTGTTTCCTCTTTCTTTTAATCTATTCTCCGGCCTGTTTTTCTTTCTTCCTTTCCTTATTAGAGCCTATTACATTGTGGTGGTACCCTTGAAGAAAAGCAAAAGTGGACAATTCCATAATGCATACAACAGTCCGGAAGAAATGGATTTAGAAGAGGTAAGCGGGGATTTGCCATGAAAAAAGTCTTTAAGAGATTTCATCTTGTTTCGTTTTTCGAACTTGCAATTTCCTTGGTAGATCCTGGGAATGCTGTAGATGTTATATATCTTCACTGGAGACAAGCATTTGACAATATATCCTACAGAGAGTCTTCTAATTCAGAGGCCCCCAACCTTTGGGGCAGCAGGGACAGGTTCCGTGGAGAGAGGGTTTTCCATGGACCAGAGGGGGATGTGGTTTTGTGTGTTGTCTGCATCCCGTGGATGGGGGTGCACTTGTTTGCACGCCCTGGTTTCTGGCATGCCGCGGACTGATGCCGATCCATGGACCGGGGGTTGGGGACCCCTGTTCTAATTAACAAACTAATCCATGGTGAGCTAGGTAGCATAACTGTGATTGGAAATGTAACGGGTCCAATAGTAGTCATCTAAGTCGGGGGTCTCCAACCTTGGTAACTTTAAGACTTGTGGACTTCAACTCCCAGAATTCCTCAGCCAGCTTGGCTGGCTGAGGAATTCTGGGAGTTGAAGTCCACAAGTCTTAACGTTGTCAAGATTGGGGACCTCTGATCTAAGCTACATTTGCAAATGTAAGATGACAAAAGTGGTCCTTCAAAATTAAACCAACAATTGCAGCTGTTAAGTGAATCCGGTTTTCCTCGCTGACTTCGCTTGTCAGCAGCTGGCTGGGAAGGTCACCAATGATGATCACATGACTCTGGGACACTGCAACCATTATCAATACAGGCTGGTTGCCAAGCGCCCAAATTTTGATCCCGTGACCTTGGAAATGCTGTGGTTGGTGGTTAAGTGCGAGGTTTGATATGTAAGCCATTTTTTTCAGTGCTGTTGTAAGTTGGGGTGGTTTGTCAGAGCGTGCACAGTCTTATTGCGTGAGATAACCCAGGAGTAAACACAGTAAACAGTGGTCTATAGTAAACTATGGTTTATCTTACACTATTTACACTGTCGTACACCAGGAACAATATACATACACGTGCTAATACAGCAGGATCCTGTTGTGATTCCTCGCCAGCCAGTGGACCCGGCAGCTGAGTCTGGGGTATCAGAGGAGGAGGAGGAGGAAGGGCCTGGAGGGACATCCGAGTCAGAGGAAGGCTCTGAGGAGCTCCAAGACTTACAGTCGGATGAGGAGCCTGGCCCCTCTACTCATGCTCAGGCTGAGACGCAGCTGTGCTGGGAGCCTGAGTTGGACAGTGATGAATCACAGCTGGGAGATATCCAGGATGCAAAAAAAGAGAGTAGGACAGAGGAATGCAATGGGGCGGCTCCAAAGGCAAAGGAGAAGGCATTAGGAAGCCACGCCTGGGCTGCATAAAAAAAGGGAAGGTATGGGAGGTGCTGGTTGCCGAATGCAGCCGTTCGTGTTGAGGATCGAGTCTCTGTGAACTGTGTTTGTTTGCCTTGGACATTGACTCAGGTCTGTGAATAATAAAAGGAGGTTGTTTTTTTTTTCCTGCGGGTCCAGCCTGCTTGTTGGAAGAAGGGTTTCTGCTTGTGAACTTAACATGGACTCACGTAGGCTGGGACAGAACAGATCCAACAAACCACAGTTACAGCAGGAAACGGAAGAGAGAGAACACATCAGCAAAGCCTTCCCTTTATACAAAGGCTCTTAAAGAGACACAGACCCTGCTGAGTCATTCCCATTCATTACATTACATCTTACAATACATAAGCTGGTTAGCTGTTAAATCAATACCTTGACACTCCTCCTATTTAAAGCTAAACAGCTGTTAATCCAAATGCTTTTACATATTCCTGATGCTCGCCTGCATTCAAAGGCTTATTTATTTATTTATTTATTTATGAGACTTATATACCGCTTTAAGTGCAAGCACTCTCTAAGCGGTGTACACCAGTAAGCAATGTATATATATATATTTACATTGCCCCCAACAATCTGGGTCCTCATTTTACCTACCTCGGAAGGATGGAAGGCTGAGTCAACCTTGAGCCGGTGAGATTTGAACCGCTGACCTGCTGAACACAGTCAGCTAAAGTGGCCTGCAGTACTGCACTCTAACTGCTGCACTACCTCGGCTCTTAGTCAACATATCGGCTGTAATGTTGTCAGTGGAACAGTGCCGTAACTTTATCAGTTTATCCTTTAGAGCAGACATGTCAAAATAGAAGGCCTGGCGGACGGATGCGGCCCGCAAAGTGGTTTCATGTGGCCCGCGAAGCCATCCTGGAAACAGTGAGGGAACGGCCCCCACTGCCTTGGCCCTGGCCCAGGCCGGCCGGGAGCCAATGTACAATTTTGTGGTGGCCATCTGTGCTGAAACACATTCAATCTTAGCTCCACAAGGCCGTCTGGAAACAGCGAGGAACCAGCCCCTGCCGCGTCGGCCCCGCCCCCTGGGTGCATGCTGGGGAGGTGTCACCCTTTGTGAGAAATGAAGAAATGGACCATCGCCTGGAAGTGGCCAGCAAATGGCCTTTACCTACTTCACATATGTGGCTTGATGGGCTCTGCCCTGGTCCCACCCCTTTCTGCCAGAGACCCTCAGATCTGTCCCACTCCTGCCCAGACCCCCCACAGGCACCCTTGACGCGAATGATGTAGAGCTGGCCACACCCACCCAGTAGGCCGCACCCACCCAGCCCCCCAAGGGCAACCGCAATGCTGATGCGGTCCTCAGTGAAATTGAGTTTGACACCCCTGCTTTAGAGCCTCCCTGACGTTAATAGTATTTTAGGTGTACATGCTTCCTTCTGGGCCTGATACGTTCTCCCGTTGCCCTCTTTATACATGCAACATTGTTCTCAAACATTGGCACAGCTTCTTTCACATCAGTACGTACATCTCTGAGCAACTGGAACCTACCAAGTTAATTCAGAACAACGCTTCAGACGATGCTAAATGAACGGTCCTAATTCAAGAACTACTTTATTTACTTATTCATACTTATTCATCTCAGCGCACTCGCTATCCGCTTTCTCCTTTTCCAGCTCATTCAGCAGATCTCAAGACTACAGCGGCGAAGCCTCCGCCATTCCCGTCAGCTGGATCACCACAAAGCGTACATCGCAGCCCGTTTCCACATCCTGCCCCCTTTCTTCATCCTCGGGGATATGAAACGCTACGACAACTTTGAAAATAAACCCCTGGAGGCCGGACAGAAATACGTCATTTTCGTATTGGCCGTTCTGCAGGCCAGTGAACCCGTGAGTCCCCTCTGCATTTTAAGAGCCTGAACGGGTTAACATTGATCTCCTTTTAGAATTTAGAATAGAATAGAGCTGGAAGGGACCTTGGAGGTCTTCTAGTCCAGCCCCCTGCTCAAGCAGGAGAACTATACCATCTCAGACAAGTGACTGTCTAGCTAGCCTCTTCTTAAAAATCTCCAATGATGGAGCACCCACAATTTCTGGAGGCAAGCTGTTCCACTGGTTGATTGTCCTCACTGTCAGGAAGTTTCTCCTTAATTCCAAATTTTAATGGAGATTCTTGTGATGAGCTCCGTTCTATGTTTTTAATAGCTTTTGTCTGAATGATATTAATTTACCGTGCTGTGAATAAAGAAGCCAAAATATTATGAGGGGCAGTGGAAAGAGGATATATTTCTTATAACAAACATCTTACAAAGTATTCAAAGTCAATATCCGTAAAGGCCAAACGTAGAAAAGTAACAAGCACAAAAATAAAAAAAAATAATAACGTGTATTGAAAATTTTCCAATGCTGCAATAATAAAACAAGAGCATAAAAGGCTAAATTAAATTTGAACGTGGCTATCCTACGTCCTGAGTTTATATCACACATTCGGGCAAGTCAATTAAAAATGTAGAAGCTGTATTTACTCAGCAGGCTAAATTTATTTAACATTAACCTTGTGCTTTGGGAAATTGTTGTTGTTGGGTTTTTTTTTTTTTTCTTAGCCCTTTGCACAGACCTAGCTGTTTCATCCAATTATACGCAAACTCAGAAATGGGTCGGTTTAATAACCAACAAAGGTGTGCAAAATTCACCAGTTCAGGGGTGAACTGGCCCCAGGAAATGCTATATATGGAATGTTATGCTCAGGACATCTTGAAAAAGTCCCGAGTCAGAGGACTTCCTTTAGAAAACACATAAATTGCCCTGGGAGAATTCATTCTGGAGAAATTTGGAACCTTTCATTCCCCAGTCTGTGAATTTTGCACATCTCAAGTAACTAATTTGAATCAGCTATTCTATACCTCAGCCACAATGCCAAATTACACTGTTTGACATGGGTTTTTCACTCACGTTCGCTGATCTGATTCAGAGCTGTCTGTTTAATGTCTTTGCTTTCTACCCCTTATCTACCTTTCCCTAATGAGAAGACCAAGGGAAATCTTGCTATAGATGTGTTCCTTTAAGCCTGGGATGGGGAACTAAGGCCCTTGTATGAGTTGTGGACTTCAATGGCTGGCTCAGGAATTCTGGGAGTTGAAGTCCACAAGTCATGAAGGAGCCATAGTTTCCCCATGCTGGCTCAGGAATTCTGGGAGTTGAAGTCCACAAGTCATGAAGGAGCCATAGTTCCTCACCTCTGCCTTACCCGCTTGCTGTACTTGACTTCTGTTTCAGCTGTACGCTGCCAGTCCCTTCTCTGACCCCATCCAGATGGACAGCTCTGACCCCCAGCCCAAGATTGAAGGAGAGGAGGGGTTGATCTGGGTGATTGGACCGGTTTTAGCTGTAGTCTTTATTATCTGCATTGTTATTGCAATCCTCCTGTACAAGAAGTAAGTGGGGGTGTCCATTTCTTTGGTTTGTGAGGATCTTCTTCCTTGGGTTGGGCTGTTCCTTTTTCTTTTTAAAACAGATTTTTTTTTTCCTGGAAGGATTTTGTCTCCTGGGGCAAAATAATCTAACCCTGGGACCCAGTTTGATTAAGTGATTTAGGTACTGGCCAATCACCAGGAGTCAGTGAGTTCTAGTCCCACTTTAGACATGAAAGCCAGTTGGTGACTTTGGGCCAATCCCCAGGAGATGATGAGTTCTAGTCCCGCCTTAGGAATGAAAGCCAGTTGGGTGACTTTGGGCCAATCACCAGGAGATGCTGAGTTCTACTCCCGCCTTAGGCATCAAAGCTGTCTGGGTGACTTTGGCCAGGTCCCTCTCTCAATCCAGACCACCTTACGGGGTTGTTGACAGTGGGGGGGGGAGTAGGAGGAGGAAGGAGTATTCGGTATGTCTGCCACCTTAAGTTATTTCAGTGGTTCTCAACCTGTGGGTCGGGATCCCATTTGGGGTCGAACGACCATTTCACGGGGGTCGCCAAACAACGCAGTCTGCCATTTTTTTCCTCCTTTTCCTTAGCTGTGCTACTCCCTTTTATTCTATTCGCTTTTGAAAGCCAATAGAATAGACGCTCTTGAATAGAGTCTACTTCTATTGGCTTTCAAAAGCCAATAGGAATTGTCCAGGCTGTCTCTGCCTTGCTGAGCCCGCCAAAAGTCCCATTCTGCAAACGGTGCTGCACCAGTTGAATAGTCCTCGACTTACGACCGGTTGAGTAGTCCTCGACTTACGACCAGTTAGGGGGTCGCGGCATTAAAAAGGTTGAGAACCACTGAGTTATTTATAAAAATAATAAAGGCGGGATATATATATGTAGGTCTTTGGTTGTTCGGGTTTTCTCCCACGTAAAATTGGAAGTGTCTTGGTGACGTTTCGACGAAGTCCCATTCGTCATCTTCAGGCTGGTGCTTTCAGCTTCGTGCCTTGAGCAGCAGTGTGTGGTCTTGGCTGTTTCTTCCTTTTTCTTTCATTTTATATATATATATATATATATATATATATATATATATATATATATATATATATATATAATGAAATCGCTGACCCTAAACTCAGATTTTTCCAACCTGGTGCTCTCTAAGCATGATAACTATTGGGGGGAGTGGGGGCAGGAGAGAGCTCTAACCCCAAACAGCTGGAAGATATCTAGTTGGGGAAAACTGATACAGACCAAAAATATATCTAGAAGTCTGAACTTCCAAACGTGATCATCAGCTTTGATCTTGGAAGATTCCTGAGCTCTTACGGAGGTTTAAAGATAACCGAGAATTTCGCAGCTACTGTCTAATATATGTCTTCTATTTTTCCTTTCTCCCCCCCCCCCTTTTTTTTTTTAATGCTTTCCTGGACAGCAAGCCAGACAGGTAAGAGGGGTTTTTTTTTAAGAGTTTTTTAAATCTTTGATGCAGTTGAAAGTCAGGAATACTCCTGCAAATGGGAGAAAATAAAAGTGGAAGAGACAAGGTATTGTAGCTTACTAATCTATTGCCAGCTGTACAAATGCAAGCCAGTTTTAGCAATAGCACTTAAACTTTACGGCCTTCTCTGAACAGTTTACAAATATCAGCATATTGCCCAGTCTGGCTTCTCCTTTTACCGACCTCAGAAGGATGGAAGGCGGAGTCAACTTTGAGCCAGTGAAAATCGAACTGCTGGCAGTCGGCAGGATTAGCTTGCAATACCGCATTCTAACCAGTGCACCACCACGGTTCTTTTTAACTCCGAAATAGGCAAAAGACAGAATAGAATAGAGCTGGAAGGGACCTTGGAGGTCTTCTAGTCCAGCCCCCTGCTCGAACAGGAGAACCTATACCATCTCAGACAAGTGACTGTCCAGTCTCTTAAAAATCTCCAGTGATGGAGCACCCACGATTTCTGGTGGAAAACTGTTCCACTGGTTAATTGTCCTCACTGTCATAAAATTTCTCCTTAATTCCACGTTGCTTCTCTCTTTGATCAGTTTCCAACCATTGTTTCTTGTCCTGCCCTCTGGTGCTTTGGTGAATAACGTGACCCCCTCTTCTTTGTGGCAGCCCCTCAAATGCTAATAATTGCCAGAAGGAGACCTGAGGCAGCTGATAGCACTCATCACATCTGTACTGTATATAGAGCTTAACCTCATGTTCTCCAAATTTACCTGGGCAACCCGTTTTACGCTTCCATTCCAGTTGAGGATCACCTGTACTGAAAAGGCTTAATTTGCAGGTCCTCGGCCGTGAGAAAGTCAAGCGCAGTTTCTAGTTTTAATGTATTATTCCCCCTTCTCCTGGAATGAGTAAATCACTTCAAAAAAGATCACAAGTATTTATTTGCCTGAAGTTAATAATAATAATAACAAAGTTGGAAGGGAGCCTGGAGGTCATCTAGTCCAACCTCCTGCTCAGGCAGGAAACCCTATACCATTTCAGACAAATGGCTGTCTAGTCTCTTCTTAAAAACATCCAGTGTTGGAGCATTCACTGCTTCTGGAGGCAGGTTGTTCCACTGGTTAATTGTTCTCACTGTCAGGAAGTTTCTCCTTAGTTCTAGGTTGCTTCTCTCCTTGATCAGTTTCCATCCATTGCTTCTTCTCCTGCCTTCAGGTGCTTTGGAGAACAGCTTGACTCCCTCTTCTTTGGTGCAGCCCCTGAGATACTGGAAGACTGCTATCATGTCACCCCTGGTCTTCATTAGACTAGACTAGACATACCCAATTAATAATAATAATGATAAAGTTGGAAGGGACCTTGGAGGTCATCTAGTCCAACCCCCTGCTCAGGCAGGAAACCCTACACCATTTCGGACAAATGGCTGTCCAGTCTCTTTTTAAAAAACTTCTAGTGTTGGAGCATTCACTGCTTCTGGAGGCAGGTTGTTCCACTGGTTAATTGTTCTGACTGTCAGGAAGTTTCTCCTTAGTTCTAGGCTGCTTCTCTCCTTGGTTAGTTTCCATCCATTGCTTCTTGTCCTGCCCTCAGGTGCTTTGGAGAATAGCTTGACTCCCTCTTCTTTGGGGCAGCCCCTGAGATACTGGAAGACTGCTATCATGTCCCCCCTTGTCCTTCTCTTCATTAAACTAGACATGCCCAATTCCAGCAACCGTTCCTTGTATGTTTTAGCCTCCAGTCCCCTGATCCTCTTTGTTGATCAATGTTTGCCTGATTAAACACTGCAGGTTTTCAGCTGCGCGCGATAGCGGTTGGCACTTGATCCCTTTCTCTTGACTCACCTGTTCCTTTCCCGCCTCCTCCTGTTTTCTCCCTCCAGCAAACGCAAAGAATCGGAGCCCCGGATCAAGTGCTTACTGAATAACGCCGAGATCGCCCCTCACCACCCGAAAGATCCCGTGGAGATGCGACGCATCAACTTCCAGACGCCAGGTAACCGGCTTCATGCCACCCTTCCTATCTTCCTAGACGGCTGCATGACACCACCCTGTGCCCTTGCAAAGTTCTGTTTGCAAAGACACGTATGTCTGCTTTTATTATCAGGTGAGAGATGGGCGGTATCATTTGGCTTTACAGTAGTGGCCAAAATTGTGGAAAGCTTTTTGAGGAAAGTGTATTTTTGAGGTTTGATGGCTAATAACACCACTTTTTTTTTTGAGTAGTACCATAAACTTATATATCAATGGAAAGATAATTTAATCAAGAATGTAATGCAACAAAGTTTGTTCAGTTATCTGTACTGTATTCTATGAAAAGTTACAGCCAAATAACCAGATAAAGGAAGCACAACTTGCTTAGGTTGATGTCAGGTAGCTTTCCTTCATCTGATTGTAGCCAATGAACCTGAGTCTTTAGAGAGCCAATCGGGTGTCATCTTGTTTTGGAAAGGAGCCAATCAGATCACAGTAGGATCCAGTGATTGATGGTACTGTATTGAAGCTGAGAGGAGGACATTTGTCAGTGTGTTATGTGATCGCTATCAAGTTGGTTGGGGGTTTTTTTGTGTTCTTTCATTGAGTGAGTTTGTAAAACATAATAAAATTAAAGCAATGGTGCAAAGAGTTGACCGGTTGCCCAGAAAGCGATGTGAAATAGTATTATTAAGTGAACAAGGCTACAGTTGTAAAGAAATTAGAAGAAAAATGGGTGGAAACTTAACCAAAGGTGGCATTTCTACTGTACACTTTTCCCAAAAGGTTTCCACAATTTTGGCCATTACTATATGTAAACCAACCTACTATTCAGCCCGTTTTCTTCAAGACAGTCTTGGAATTCTGAAATAGCTGGATAAAGCTTTTGGTGGGCCAATGGACCGGCATAATTCATCATGCTGAATAAATTAGACTAGGGGGTGAAATCTGCACATTTTTTGTGACTTTGTTGGTAGAATAAAGAGAATTTAGCTTTGCTTAGCAGAGAAGGAGCTTTAGGTGATTAACTAATAACATTGATTTAGAACAATGCCCGTTTCAATTGATTTAAAATGGGGGCCCTCTTTAAAAGCTTTTAACTCATTTTTAACCGCTGAAAAGGATTTTATAAGAAGCTTTCTTACTTGCCCATGCTTACGTTGAAGAGGGAAAAAAGGGGAATGTTTTTTGTAATATTTTTTCACTACAGGTAGTCCTCGATTTACAACCGCAACGGAGCCCAAAATTTCCGTTGCTAAGCAAGGCAGCAGTTAAGTGAGTTTGGATCCATTTCGCAACCGTTTTTTTTTTGCCACCGTTCTTAAGCGAATCATGCGGTCGTTCAGCGAACCCGACTTCCCCTAGCGACTTTTGCTTGTCAGAAGCTGGTGGGAAGGCTGCAGGGGGTGATCACGTGACACCCCCCCCCCCCAGGATGCTGCAGCTGTCCAACATATACGCCAGTAGCCGAGTGCCCGAATTTTGATTGCGTGACCAATGGGGATTGCTGCAACGGTGTGGGGAAAAAAAAACTGTGTGAAAAACAGTCAAAAGTCCCTTTTTTTTCAGTGCCGCTGTAACTTTGAACGGTCGCTAAATGAAGGGTTGTAAGCCGAGGACCACCTGTAGAACGTTTCACCAAACAGCTGTGGGGACTCCCTGGGAGAAGCAGCGTTTCCGCTTTTGCATGAATGGAAGGTGACCTGCTTCTTTGCACACCTGCGTGTCCCTTCTAAAATCAAAGCGATGTCCGGGATGTTTCCACGCAAACAGCTGGTTGCAAGTAAAGTACTGTAGTGTGTGGATAGGGGTCTTGGAAGATGGTGGGCGGTTTAATTCCAGGCAGGTTTAATTCCAGGCACACGGTAGTTCAGGGAAAGAGAGGAGAGGGTCCTCTAACACTCCAAAAGACAGAACTGGATTGGTGGGATGGGCTCCCCTGGATTTTCCGGAGGGAAGGAGAGCAGAGAATCCAACTTTGCCTTGTTCAGCCTCCGCAGTTGCTGTTTTGTCTGAAGCTCCAAATAACCCAAGAATTCCCGCCTCGTTTTTGGAGCACGGTGATTTAATTTTGGTGTCAAAACAAAGCTCCCTCTTGTTTTGGGACCAGGCCTTCCCCCCCCCCCCTGCAAAGGAAGTGTGCCCTCCCTCCTTCTCTTCTGTTTCGTTTCTCCTTCCCTCCCTCCCTCTTTCTTCTGTGTATCCTTCCTTCCTTCCTTGTATCTTTCTTTTCCTTCCTTCCTTCCTTCCTTCCTTTCTTTCTTTTGCTTCATTCCTTCTTCCCCTCTCCCTCTTTCTTCTATCTGTGTAATCTTCCTTATGTTCCTTCCTTCCTTGTATCTTTTCCTTCGTTCCTTGTATCTTTTCTTTCCTTCCTTCCTCCCTTTCTTTTGTTTCATTCCTTCTTCCCCTCTCTCTCTTTCTTCTATTTATGTAACTTTTCTTTTGTTCCTTCCTTCCTTGTATCTTTTCCTTCCTTCCTTCCTTCCTTCCTTCCTTACTTCCTTCCTTCCTTCCTTCCTTCCTTTCTTTTGTTTCATTCCTTCTTCCCTCTCCCTCTTTCTTCTATCTATGTAACCTTCCTTTTGTTCCTTCCTTCTTTGTATGTTTTCCTTCCTTCCTTCCCTCCCTCCTGACAAGTGGAAATTTAAGCCAAGGCAATGTCAGAGGCTTAGGGTTAGATCAGTGGTTCTCAACCTGTCGGTCGGGACCCCATTTGGGGTCGAACGACCATTTCATGGGGGTCGCCAAACCATGCTGTCCACCATTTTGTTCCCTTTTCCCTAGCTGACCTACTCCCTCTTATTGGTGGCCACACCCACTTGGGGGTCACCACAACATGGGGAACTGTATGATGGGGTCACGGCATTAGAAAGGTTGAGAACCACTGGGTTAGATAAAGCACAACTTCATATAGCATAAGCACGGTCAACAGGTCAACAAAGTCATCGTCCCAAGGCAGCTCAGGTATCACCAGATCTTTTCCCAGAGCCTGGCATTCTTTCCTAAACTGCTTCTTTTGACTCCTGGGACCAGCTCCTCCAGCTTTGTGCCCAACCAGGCTGCAAATGATTGTTGTGCTTTGCCACTCCCCAGCGTGACAAAGGAAAGTCTAAGCTCCTATTGTCCTTCAAGACCGCGCAAGAGGATCTCTTTTGCAGCTGATCTATCCCTCTCTGAGGGAAAGTTATTCCACAGCCACTGGTTGCAAAACTGCGCCTTCCTGAATACTCCCTGCCAGTGTAAAATGGCCCCTCTGGGGTTTCACGCTTACTTTTTCTCTTCTTTCCCCTTTTTTTCCCCCCTCCCTTCCCTGCCTCTTCCATTTTTTTAATGGACATTTCTAGATTAGGAACTGACATTTAGACCAAAGGATGTTGGTCTGGGGCTACCCTAGAAGATGGTTAATTTTGGGCTTTGGCTATCCAGAATGAGAGGTGAAATGCAGGAGCTCAGCTGTAGGTTTATTCAGTGATATTGTTTTAGGCACGTTGGATCGCAAACAAATATTCGACCGTATTTAAGCCGGGTTTGGCCAAAACTCAAATAGCAGGAGGGAGGGGGAAAGTGTCTCTTTTTCTCTGGCAGAACTTAAAAAACCCAGGGCCCAAATATCTGGAGATGAAGCACCATACAGCTCGTGTTTGCAAAGGAGAATTCCACCTTCTTTACGGCAGGATTAGGATAACTGTGATTCAAGAATAACATTATTTTAATGTTTTTAAAATATCATTCGACTAAATACCGTATTTTCCGGCATATAAGACGACTTTCTAAAGCATGCAAATCGTCTCCGAAGTAGGGGGTCGTCTTATATGCCGAGTCGTCTTATACGTCAGAAAATACGGTAAATCTTTTTTAACCTGAACTAAATCCCATTTAATAAACTGAGTTTGGTACAAAGTGAGAATTTCAGTTTGGGAGCAGATGCTTTTTTTGCTGCCCCAAATTTTATAATTGGACCTTAAAGCCAAAGGCTTAAAACTCCCAATTTTCATGCATGGAGAGGGTGGGGTCTTCTGAAGAGCGCTAAATGGCAGTTGCTGGGGTCTAGTTATTATCCACCCTTGATCAAGGTGCTCTATTATCTCCAAACTATTTTATCTGCCTTTCTTTGCTTCATCCCCTTTATCCCCTCTCTGGAGGTGGAGGGAAGCCGTTCAAAATGTTCAGGATGTTTCAGGAAAATAGAATACATTTTGGCAATATATTCTTGATTAATTCTGGGGGGAAATTACTTCTGGATTTTTCACTGAGAGACTACTTGACCAGGTAAAAGGGAGGCACAGGCAGTCCTTGACTTACAACCGCAGTTGGCAGAAGACTTTCCATTGCTAAGCAAAGTGGTTGTTAAGTGAGATACATCTGCTTTTACAACCTTTTTTGCCACAGTTGTTAAATGAAACATTGCAGTGTTAGGTGATCCCACCTTGCCCCATTGGCTTTGCCTGTCAGAAGCCAGCTGGGAAGGTCATAAGTGGTGATCACATGCCCCCCCCCCCTGCAACCATTATAAATACCTGCCCATTGCCAGGTGTTGAAATTTTTTATCACATAGCCCTGGGGATGCTGCAACAATCTTAATTGCAAGAAACCAGTTGTAAGTCACGTTTTTCAATGCCGTTGTAACTTCAAACGGTTGCAAAATGAATGGTTGTAAGTCAAAATCTACCTCTATGTATCCTCTCTCTCTCTCTCTCTCTCTCTCTCTCTCTCTCTCTCTCTCTCTCTCTCTCTCTCTCTCTCTCTCTCTCTCAGTTTAGAAAAATAGCCCAGCTTTGTGGCTTGCGATTAAAAAAGCCACCCCACCTGTGAAGCATAGACTAAAAAAAAAATGATTTAAGTTCTGAATTTTGCAGTCCAAATTTCAAGACTGGAGGAAAAAAAAGAAGCGATGCAGAGGGTCGGAAGGAAGCCTGGTGTGGCCAGGGGGACAGTTTTCGATTGTGGTTGTTATACACTGTTATACACAGTCCCAAACGCTACCTTTGAAGTTGTGTCAAGAATTTCTGTTCATTTTTTTTATTTTGGGCAAGGAGATAGAAGCAAATTGGGGTATTAACAGATGTGAACTCCATTGGTTTTTATTATAATCATATGGATTTTCTAATATTCTGAATTTCTTTAGCCATCTTGGATACTAATGCAGAGACAAAGTCAGGCTTTGGCAATAAATAAGAATAAAGAAAGCCGCAGGAATTTTCATAACAAAGCACAATGACTGCACGATAAAGATCTTTGTGGGTCTTAAGAGGTGCGGTAGGATAAATCTAGGATCTTGGGAATAACAGTGAGAAGACAAGTTTTTATTTTATTATTTTTTTTAAAAAATAGGAAAAGTGGTAGCATCTTGCACGACTCTGAAAAACCGGTCCCAAGCACATGCAAAGGACTTTTACAGGACAATCCTATATGGATCTGTTGAGGTTCCATTGAGTTAGTCGGAGCGTATTCTCTTCCAAATGTAAATGGTGTGACAACTTAGTGCTAGTTCTAGAGCACAGAGAATCCACCATTTTTATTTGTATGTTTAATTTGCGTGTCTTCCAGTTTTGATATTTTCACTCAATATTTACATAACCTTTCTACTAGCTTTGTCTTCGTTTTCAGTTATTCTGCGAGAGTCTGGGGTTGTTTTTTTACATGCATACTTCTCACTTGCATACATATGTGGTATGCGGTATATGTATTTACATATATTTTTGCCTGTGCATAATATTCATGTATGAAAATAAGAGTACTCCATCAGCAGAACGAAATGCATCTTTCTAAAGCAAATCTATCTTAAAAAGTTAAAAAAAAAACCAAAAAAAACCCCCACCTCAGCACATTTCAACTGTTCTGGAGGAGATAGGAGAGAAGGATGGGGGAAGCTGCCTTCCAAGGTTGTTTGCTGAATGTCTTTCTCTATTTTAATAACCAGATATAAATACAGACATCCTCATGTTTATTAAAAAGACCTGATACCGTTGCGCTAGGAGTGCATCCAGCACATAAAACATGAGCCTCAACGAAAACAAGGAAAAACATTTTCCTGCATGCTGTCCTATTCCCTGAAGGGAGAAGAAAAAAAAAAGATCCTTTCATTTCCTCTTAAATTTTGTGTTGCCTTTTTTTTGTTACTGTTGTTGGTTTCGTTTTTGTTTCTTCTTGGTTGAGTAGCATTTCTTTTATACAAGTGTATATATATTTTTTTTGTTTTTCTTTTTGTTTTACTGTTTTCTGCAGATTCTGGCCTCAGCAGTCCACTCAGTGACCCTGAGCTTGACCTTGAAAGTTAGTTCCTGTGTGTTTTCGTTCCTCTCTGTTTCATTGGTTGTATATTCCTTTTCCATCCCAAAAATTTTTGGCTTATCTTCTGTTGCTGTTCCTGCCCTGGCTTTTTTTTTCCCTCTCTCTCTCTCTCTTTCTCTCTCTCTCCCTCCCTCCCTCCCTCTCTCCTTTCTTTCTTTCTTTCTTTCTTTCTCCGGGCTTTTGTGTCTTCTGCCATTCCCTGTCTGTCTCTTGCGCCATTTGTTTTGTCTAATTGTGCTTCCAGTTTTACAGTTTTCACAGCCAAAAGGCCTTTTGCAAAACCACCACGGCCAGATTTGTCTCTGAATCGTGGTGTCTGCTTATATGTGTCTATTAAAATACTATTACGTCCTTGCTCATACGATTAGAGAAATAATCGATAGAATAATATTTCCCATTGATAAAGTGGTTCAAGGCTGGAATTGTCTAGGACTAGGGGTCTTCAAACTTGGCCCTTTTATGACTTTTGGACTTCAACTCTCAGAATTCCTCAGCCAGAGTGTCTGAGATAAATCAAACAGTATACAGAACACAAAGGAAAAAAAGGCGGGAAATGGGAAATGCCCCCTTCATACCCACAGCAACCAATCAGAGTATAGATTGCCTTGTGCATGAGTCAGCACTCTCTAATTCAGGGGTCTTCAAAGTTGGCCTGTCTGGCTGAGGAATTCTGGGAGTTGAAGTCCACAAGTTATAAAAGGGTCAAGTTTGAAGAACCCTGTCGTAGGAAATTCAGCCTTCATCTTTATCAGCATGCTAGATTTAGATTTTGGAAGCCACACCTACTTGCTAGCCTTCCCTTCCCTACTTATTTCATACACATTGGTTATGTTTACATATCATTTTTAACCAGGACTGTTAAAGGTTGCAGTGGCATTCACACAACATTGTAAAAAGTTGTATAATGTTAATCTTGGTTACTTTTGGGGGGAGCTGTGTGTGTGTGTGTGTGTGTGTGTGTGTGTGTGTGGTTTATCAAGTGATTCAAAGCTAGCCTGTTTTATGGTTTCACGTATTCTGCAAAGCAAGCCAACAGGTTAGTTCAAAACTTGGCTGGAAGGATTACCATACGATAATGCAGCTATTCATAGATACTGTACCATCACCTGGAAAAGGAAAAAAATAGGTTTAATTTTATTTCTCTGAATTTGTATTGATCTGTAGGGATTCCCACTGCTAGAAAAAGTCAGGCATGGATGAAGAATATTAGATACAGTGCAAGGATTGGTGGATGGGTTCTGGATGATGATGATGATGATGATAGTGTTGGAAGGTACCTGGGAGGTCATCTAGTCCTGCTTCAGGCAGGAAACCCTATACCCGTGGTGGCGAACCTATGGCACGCGTGCCCACAGACGGCACTCAGAGCCCTCTCTGTGAGCACACGCACCGTTGCCCCAGTCCTAGGCCTTCAGCTGGGTTTTATAAAACCTTCTCACTTTGGGCCTCCGCCACCGTGTGCAAAAAAAAAAAAAAAAAAGGATCAATCAATCAATTTCAACTTCTGGGGGAGGGGAGATCTCGCAAAAGTTGGAACTGATTGATTGAACTTTTTAGTCCCACCCAGTCTGCTGTTACCACCGCAGCCACACCCAACCAATGGGCCATGCCCACCCAATTGGCCACACCTATCCAATGGGCCACACCCGCCTGGCACCCGACTACATAAGTGGATTTTGGGCTGCAGTTTGGGCACTCGGTCTCTAAAAGGTTCGCCATCACTGTTCTATACCATTTCGGACAAATGGCTGTCCAGTCTCTTCTTAAAAACTTCCAGCGTTGAAGCATTCAACACGTCTGGAGGCAGGTTGTTCCACTGGTTAATTGTTCTCACTCTCCTTGATGAATTTCCATCCGTTGCTTCTTGTCCTGCCTTCTGGTGCTTTGCTTCTTGTCCTGCCTTCTGGTGCTTCTTGTCCTGCCTCTTCTTTGGGGTAGCCCCTGAGATACTGGAAGACTGCTATCATATTCCCCCTCATCCTTCTCTTCATTAAACTAGACCGGGGTAGGCAACCTTGGCTCTTTTATGACTTGAGGATGTCAACTCCCAGAATTCCTGAGCCAGAATGGCTCAGCTTGGAAACTCCTCCCTTTCCCCTCAGCATGGCTGGCTCAGGAATTCTGGGAGTTGAAGTCCACAAGTCATAAAAGAGCCAAGGTTGCCTACCCCTGAACTAGACATATCCAATTCCAGCAACACAATGCTGGTTTGTTGCATGTGCCAGGCTGTTGCGGTTCAGTCTTGAAGCATCCTTCACCAAAGTCTTGCATGGAGGTAGGCATCTCTAAACACTCGATAAATAAATAAAATCATCTTTCTCTGCCCTCACAGAGTGTAAATTTCCTTTCACCAAAATTTTCACAATGATCATTGTTGGCCAGTGAGGAATTCTGGGAGTTGGGAGTTACCCCAAACTTCTGGACTTAGACTCAGGAGCAAAGTTCAGTCATGAAAAGGTTGCCACTTAGAAGTCCTCGGTGCTCTCTCAGCTTGATTGTTCTCATCACCACACCAGGTAACATCACCACTGCACAGAACTGTAGTGCTGTTGTGATCTTCTCCACAAGGGAGAGCCCAGATCTCCAGCCATATGGTCTACTCAGGACCCGACAGGCAACAGGAGCTCTTGACATAATGTCTACCTTGAAAGGGAGATCAGGCCCATCCATCCCTTTTGGGGTGGATGGGTAAATGGAAAGTAGGCTATAGCAACAAAGCCAGGAGGTTTTCAGGAATGGTACCACCGTCAAACGCACAAGGGGGACATGATAGCAGTGTTCCAATCTCTCAGGGGCTGCCCCAAAGAAGAGGGAGTCAAGCTATTCTCCAAGGCGCCTGAAGGCAGGACAAGAAGCAACAGATGGAAACTAATCAGGGAGAGAAGCAACCTAGAACTAAGGAGAAACTTCCTGACAGTTAGAACAATTAACCAGTGGAATAACCTGCCTCCAGAAGCGGTGAATGCTCCAACACTGGAGGTTTTTAAGAAGAGACTGGATAGCCATTTGTCTGAAATGGTATAGGGTTTCCTGCCTGAGCAGGGGGTTGGACTAGATGACCTCCAAGGTCCCTTCCAACTTTATTATTATTATTATTATTCTCAATCATCGCACAGTCAGCCAGATGTTCAGACTGGATTTGGTATTTTGTCTACCTATCGAGTCCTTACCCAGGACCTGGGATAGGCAGATGTGGATTTTTGATGGTATTACAGATATCGTCGCAGGATGGAAGCAGTTCCTAATAAGGCCGCCTTTTGCAATTGACTAATAGCGAATTTGTCAATGCCAATTGTGTTCAAGTGGTGCTCCAGTTGTTTTGGGATTGCACCCAAGGAGCCTATGACTATTGGTACTACCCTTGCTTGCTTTTGCACAGTCTTTCTATTTCTATTTGTAGGTCTTTGTATTTTGTTATCTTCTCCAGTTCTTTCTCTTCTATTCTGCTATCACCAGGCACTGCCACGTCCACTATCCAGACTTTTTTGTCTTTCTTATCGACAATTGTTAAGTCTGGGGTGTTATGTTGCAGGTGCTTGTCTGTTTGAATTCTGAAGTCCCAGAGCAGTTTAATTTATCATTTTCTATGACTTTCTCTATTTTATGATCCCACCAGTTTTTGCTTACAGGCAAATGATATTTTTTGCAGATCCTCCAATGCACCATTGTTGCTACTTTGTCATGCCACTGCTTGTAGTCAGTCTGTGCAATCTTCTTGCAACAGCTTACCAGGTGGTCCACTGTTTCTTCAGCTTCTTTGCATAGGCGACACTTACTGTCTGTTGCTGTCTTCTCAATTTTGACTTTATATGCATTTGTCCTTAAGGCTTGGTCTTGTGCAGCCAGAATTAATCCCTCGGTCTCTTTCTTCAATTTTCCTGCTCTTAGCCATTGCCAGGTTTTATTATTATCTGCTTTCCCAGCTACCTTGAAAGGGAGATCAGGCCCATCCATCCCTTTTGGGGTGGATGGGTAAATGGAAAGTAGGCTATAGCAACAAAGCCAGGAGGTTTTCAGGAATGGTACCACCGTCAAACGCACAAGGGGGACATGATAGCAGTGTTCCAATCTCTCAGGGGCTGCCCCAAAGAAGAGGGAGTCAAGCTATTCTCCAAGGCGCCTGAAGGCAGGACAAGAAGCAACAGATGGAAACTAATCAGGGAGAGAAGCAACCTAGAACTAAGGAGAAACTTCCTGACAGTTAGAACAATTAACCAGTGGAATAACCTGCCTCCAGAAGCGGTGAATGCTCCAACACTGGAAGTTTTTAAGAAGAGACTGGACAGCCATTTGTCTGAAATGGTATAGAGTTTTCTGCCTGAGCTGGGGGTTGGACTAGATGACCTCCAAGGTTCCTTCCAACTTTATATTATTATTATTATTATTATTATTATTATTATTATTATTATTATTATTATTATTATTATTATTATTATTTTGTAACCAGAAGAATCAAAATCAACACTGGCAGTTATTTAAGGTGTTTTGTGTTGTTGTTTTTTTGCAAGTTTTCCAAAACTGATGGAACCGGTACAGAGATTTCTCTCTGCGCTCCTGGGGTTTTATCTGTGGGATACCCAAGAATAAGGATGTTGGAAGATCTCATGCTCCCTAGGTAGTGATGGAATTAGAGGAAATGGATCAGGAGGGACTTCTTTTCAGCTCATGAATTATTCTACATAAAAATAATATAAGCATCTTTGTACATCAACATGCTTTTTTAAAAAAAAAAAAAAAAGAAATTTTCCCAAACAGAAAACTCATATTGGGAGAGGCTTTTATCAGGGAAAGAAATAGAACAATTTTCCCTTTTCTGGATAGGCTTTGCAATAAATTGCTTTCCAGCGCAGCATCGCATTTGACATTTCTGTGATATATTAGGGACCTGATTTGTATATTATCCATCATGGGAGAGAAAATTTTACTTATAAATAAGTAAAAACAACGGAACTAGCTCCATTAGAATGCTTCTCCCTAATCTA